TTTTCTTTGATTAGTGAAGGAACCACTTTTTCCAGACCACATAGTGTCGCTTTGCAGTCTTTTATATCAGCTGCATTCATTTCGGCTAGCTTAGAGATGTTAGCAACCATTAGCATGTTGTCACGTAGCTGCACGCCGAAGTTATCAATCTTGTCCGTTAGCTTATTAATGGCTTCCACAACCGAGTTTGTTAATGTCCTCATTTTGGGACACAATTACCTTGCTGGGTGGTGTTGATGTCTTCCCAGGCGTTGGAGGAGATTTCCTTTTGCTTGTTGGGAGTGAAGTATCCATACTATACTCGTGGTCAGCAGTCGCAGAGCACGTTTTGGGGGAAACCGCTAGCTTGGTGTCCGCTTTGTCTCGTTTCATATCTTTTGTAAAGTTAAATATGGTACAGAAAAATAAACTGAAGAGAAATATGATGTATAGGCAGGTTAAGTAATCTTCGGAACTCAAAATGAGAGGTCTTAGCTAACACGTCGGGATTAGTGCATTAGAGTTTAAAGTAAGCTGTCTGCCCGGTTCGCCATCTTTCCGCCACTTCACACCGAAGGATTTTGTTAGCGGATCCACCACCAGCCGCCTTAAAAGTGCAGCTGATCCTTCCCTGTTTGTCTGGAATAACTTCACTGCACCTGCAATGAGAGAGTCTGCTTTCGAGAGGGCGAAGAAACGGCAGTTCGTCCTCTCAGAAAGCTAGCCAGGCTGAAGATGCTACTGCGGACCATGACTACACGGCACATCCACCCGCAGGTAAAAGATAATATATTGTATATATTTTCCATGTAAGATAATTTTAGTAAAATATAACTGTTGCTATAATAATAATAACATTATTATTATTATTATTATTATTATTATTATTATTATTTTCACATAATAATGAAATTATGAGATTATGTGGTTATGTATTTTGGGGAAAGATTAAGTCAATGGCTGTATACATACATGCTCCGACTCACAACTTGTATTGATCTTCACAGAAGTAATGTTTCAAATATATAATTAAAACTTATTGCTAATTGTATGTTTTACTATTTTATTTTGTGGTTTTACAGGTGCACTTGATGAAGCTCTGGATTATATCAAGGAGTTGGAGGCCAGACTTCAAAAAGTGGATTTGTCTGCCATACTTTTTAGCCGCTACTGTGCCTCTGATGACCAGATCCGGTTCTACACCAAATTTCCATCTGAATGTGTGTTCCGGATCTTCTGGAAGTCCATTGCACCCTCTGCATCACGCCTGGTGTCCTGGACCAGAGCATAGAAACTTGGGGAGGAAGCATGTGCTGCCCGCTGCATGCCTCTGATTGATGAGTTCCTGATGTACTCATTCAGTGATGCAGTGGGCATGAAGGAGCAGCTCATTGCTGACATGTTTCAAGTCAGCATAGCTACTGTCAGCCGAGTGACCATCACCTGGGCCAACTACCTCTTCATTGTGTTCTCTTCCATCACAATTGGAAGCCTCTAGCGGCTGTCAATGTTATTGCATGTTATTGTGGAATAAAAAATATTTGTATAAAGACTAAATTCGAAAAGATAAATTCTGAAAATGTGTATTATTCTTTTAAATTATTATTTAACATTAGTGAATGTCTGTTTACATCATAGGTCAAAAGATGCTTAAAGTGGTGGATGAGAGTGATTGTTAATAAATGTCCAATAAAAACTGAACAATGAGAGTAAAAATTCTACATTTATAAAGTTATTAAGGACACGTGTAGTAAGATTAATAAGTGTAATAATCAATGATGAGACAATGATTAATTCTTTAACACTAATTTAATTACATTTAGAATGAGAGGAACACTGTGTATTTTAATTACGATGCCATTAATTTAAACCAGTTTCTACATATAAATAAAAAAAAATCCAGCACAGATTCACTGTTAGGACTACCGCATTTATCTACAGACATACTTTATAACTTCAAGTATTTCTTTGGCATGATTTAGTAGCTATGAAAGCACAAAACATGTAAGCATGCCAACAATAATCCTCTTAATTTCTCAGAGATGTAATCTGTGTAATCTTAGAAAGACGGACACTTATGCAAACACACAATGTACCTGCTGCCAAAGCAGACTTTAGATTGACTCTCAGTTTAAGAATCTGTCCATTCTACTCCGCAGGTACAGAGTCCGGACCCTCATCCCGCAGCACAGCCGTCTCTAGGAGGTCAGAGGTCGGCGTGTCTGGTGGTTCCTGAGACAGATCTTCAGAGCATCTGCTCACGGTGGGCGAGATCACATCGGGGCTTGTGTCGCAGGATTCTGTGCTCTGCTCTGATGTGGCCGTGTTGGTTGTCGTAGCAACGCTTGGAGGAACCGGGTCGAATTCCTCGTCGTCATCCTCCAAGATTGGTGACTCATGGATGTCTGTCATTGAAGAAAAAGGTTAAGCTGCTGTAGCAACATAATCTACATCACGAGAAAGGGTCAGAAAATAAATAACAAATATATTTTATTTTAAATGTGTTTAAACTTTTGCGTCACAAACATTTTGAGAGTTTGGTGGTTTAAATTTTCTTTTAGTCCATAATATAAAATCTATATAAAATGGTTTCAAATGGCTGGTTGTGAAAATCTTTGGAGCAATGAGTGCTTTTGGAAGGCATCATACATACGTAACATGCTCAAGTTTTTGCACCACAATAGTAAACTTGAAAGTTTTTAAAAACTTAAGATTTGTAGTCAAAATTAGTAGCTAATGGTAACTTACTACTGAAGGCCTCTGGGTACTGCTTTGCAATCTTTCCTTTCAATGTCCTAGTGTACAAGAGAAAGATCCAGAGGTCAGAAATTGTGTTGTGCACACTACAGATATGGCTGAAAAATAAAAGCGAGAGAGAGACTGATGACTAACCTGATCCTCCTGAAGACGCTGTCCAAATCCTTCTTCATGTCAACCAGGGTGCGAGTATGAAGCAGGAAACGCTCGTTCATCTGCTGCAGCCTCACATTCGATAGTCCATTGAAGTTGATCAGCATCTCATTGGTTTTCTCAAACCGATCGAGCCTATTTGCACAACAGAAAAAAAGGTTTACTTAAATTTTCACCACATTACAAGCACAAATTTTTTTTAGACCAACCTTGGTACAACAAAGAATCTACAAGTGTGATTGTATAAAGACCTCCTTTACTGTGATACACTAAAATTAAATCAAGTTTAACAAGACTCTTTCACTAATCATTTATTCATTAAGCAGAACAAAGACCAGAGGACACAGCAGATGAGTAGGTTAATATAAGTATCCCGATGAATTAAATGAATTTTACCTTTTTATCCACAAGTCCAAAACAGAAAAAACATATATGTTAGAAAATAGTAAAAGAGAAAAAGACAAAAGTAGTACAGAAATAGATAAATATTTAAATCTCCATCAGTGGCAAGACCACAAAGTATCAGTGGTGCCATCACTTTTCTTCACATTTAGTTGCCTTGTTGTAAAAATGTCCCATCATAATAAGAAAGTTGCCTTACATTACAGTACATGTTCATTCACCTTAACTGACCAGCCACAGCAAGGAGAGAAATAATCAGATTCACTGTAATTCTGAATCAGATGCAGAAATCAACAGCTTGTTTGGGAGACTAATTTGATACAACAAGCCGTTCACTTAATAAAGTGGACCTGAAAAGAAAATATGACTCAAAGAGAGATTTTCAGACACCAGTCAGTGTGTTATATTGCTATTTTGCTCAAAAGACATTTCAGTGTTTAGATGCAAAACTCATGCAGAGCCATGGTTGCAGGCTCCTGTATGGTTGCAGGCTCCTGTACAGGTCCTGTCTGGCTCTGCATGGCTGCAGAAACACCTGCATAAAGCTACTCACATGTGTCTCTGCGCCTGGATGATGGCGTTCACGTCCTCAGAGTTCACCATGCTCAGCATCCTGCTGCAGAACACACCGGAGGCCGTGGGCTCCACCATGGTGATAGGAAAGCTGCAGAAACATTTACACACCTAATAATTAGAGGCATCATGTTCGGGAGACAGGGGATAAGACCCTGCATTTCCCCCATTGACATGCTGTTAAAGCAACATTTTCGTCATTGAGCGAAAATGTTCGAAATAAAGAAACGAAGCAAGATGATTTCCTTACATCTGCGCCCACCGGCTCCTTGCGTAACTAAAAAGGTTCAACTACATCTGACAGCTGGCCAGCCGAGAGGAGAACAAAACAAATGGGTTTAAACTTCCTGTCCCATGATTTTCTTCTTCTTGCGAAACAATCGGACGCATTACCGCCACCAGGTGGCAGAAAGCGTGAACTGTCAAAGGATTCCGCTGCCTTTCTTTTTTTGCGTAATCCCGGATGTCACGTGCCGCTTCACGTTCGTCATTGCCCCTTGTTGGAGAAGCGTGTGCAAAACAATTGGGTCATCGCCTTGGTGATCGCTTTGTTTGTTTGTTTGTAAGAGTAGAATTAGAGCGGTAGCTGTCATCTTTTTAATATCCGCTCAGTCCTAATAAAGTGAATTTGAAACAAGGAACACAAAGATCACATTTTACAGTACAGAATGACACACATGTATAGCAAAAACTATTCTGATCGTTACTAAATGGACACTTAATTCAATCAACAATTAAATAATTAGGCTTATGATGCTTTGGCTGAAAGGAGTCCAAACCGTGTTTGGGTTCAACGTCTGAGGTTTGAGGTTTAACAATTGTTGTTCATCATGTTGGTAACAACATGATGACAGAGGAGGGGACACAGGAGAGGGACATGTTCATCATTTCTGCAGGGAAGAACGTTCAGACAGGACGATAAGGTAAAAAGAATGTTCAGAAATAACTAGGTTGGAAGGATTTTGACAGGACATGTGGAGGGTTTCATGTTTACGAGAGAGTGAAGGAGGACCATAACTGGGGAAAAAGATGCATAAATGGGAAAATAGGGAATCCAAATGACTATGTGCTTGAATTTTTAAATCCTCCAATAATACTGACAGTCAGGAAAAAAAGCACAAGGAAACCCACAAATTCATACTTTCATAAAACTCACAAAATTACTTTTATTAAGGGACAAGTAAAAAAAGTACATGATGTATAAAAAATACAAAAAACGCTTTGTCTAAGTTGTAAGCTAAGTAAATGCATAGCAACAGTACATGCAAGTCTAGAGTTAGGTATCCTACTGTGGTTTCCTACTACTTTAACATTTGTAAGCTATAAGATTAAAGAGGGAGATGTTCAGTTTGGCTGCAGTCTACCGGTCGTTATAGTCTACATGATACAGATGCAAAGTGGAGATACAGTACAACTTCGGTTGCACGCAATTCGGCTGATGAGCAAATAAATAGTTGCACAAAAACAAAGCAAAATCGATTCGACACGACTTCAGAGGGAGCTTGTGTCGGAATCACATTCCCAAAGATGAAAAGCTAACAATGAGAAGGATTTCTAGAACAACACTTCTAAGCCGGGATACAAATAAATATGAATTAAATAAATAATGAAACGTGTATTTTGAGAGCCATTCGACCCACCCGGCCCTTTTATTTACATATCAAACTCACAGCTCCAAATGATCAACATCATATGTATGAAATTTCATATTAGTGTTCTTCTTCTTGTTTTGTTTTTTTTTTCTTGCTTTTTTTTTTTTTTTTTTTTTTTTTTGTGTGTGTGTTTTTAAGAATACCATAGAGATACGTACAAATGGCCCGGACAAGCACAAGTGTCCATAGAAAACCTGCATTGATTTGACATTGGGTGAATTTCAATGTGCTTTGGCTTTCGATTGATAAATAAAGTATTATCAGGCTATACATCACAACACGTTTGTGGTATATTAGAGGCAATGGCATAGAATTTCTGCTTCTATAAAGACCTTTATCATAAACTGACCCAGGACTGACAGAGATTACTGATATTGGTATTGCTGAATGACTATAAACTGATCATTTTGTGTTTTTCTGTTGTTTGGTGAGATATCATTAAGCAAAGACACTATTTCTCCCTTTCCCTATGTCTTTTCTTTACATACAAAAATAAGTTACAACTTCGGAGAAACGGATCAAAAAAGAAACAAAACAAAAAAAAGCAAGATATACAGTTTCTGTAAGGCCATGCTAAAATTTCCAAGACTCATGCATCAGGGTATTTCAGGTCTCTTGGGTGAGTGAGCTTGCCATTCATGCAGAATGCACTGTGTGTTGCTGAGGCCACAATAAATATAGCTACTTTCCCTTTTTGTTTTATTCCTTAATACCAATCCAGGATTAACACTAGCACTGTCTGTGACACACAATTAAGGCTGGTGTACTTGCTGTTGAGATTGTGAATAGGCCTTATTTAAATGGATTAACATTTGCACACAGACGTTCTAACAAATACACACAGAAAAACCTCTGATAGGAGGGGATATCGTGAAAAGACAGAGAAACACAGGGGCCGCTGTACATGTCTGTGCTGTGTCAGTGTAAAGTATCGATCGCTCCAAAGCAACTTCCAAAAATAAAGACAGGAAGGTATACTTTTTATAAATTAAAGACTATCACTATCCAGGTGTAGCTTCATAATTATAATATAATCAAAAAGCTCATTTATTTTTGTAATTCAGTTCAAAAAGGAAAACTTATATGTTGTTTGATTCCATATATTTCTTTATGGCTTGCAGAAAATGAAAACCCAAAATTATGTCTCTCAAAAAAATCCCAAAATCTCATAAGACCAATAAATAAAGCCTGGACGGTAAACAGAGAAATGTTGTGCTTTGGCATGCACAATCCTAAAACTGCTGACTAAACAACTATCCAGCAGATAGTTAGAGTTCCCACATGAGGTAGGCAAATCACCAAGAGTCTTTACTAAAGAAATACCAATTAAAAGTTTAGTGGAAGAAAAAAGTGTAGTTGAAAATTATAAAATAGTAATAACTGCAGCATTGAGAGAATTGTACGTTTCTTCAGACTAGTCTGTTCACAGACTGTTCACATTTGTTGATTTTAAATCTAAATTCAACAAAAGTTGATTTTAGATTTAAAAAATTAAGGTGCCTAGAAAAAAAGAGAAAAAGAGAGAGAGAGAGAAAAAAAAAAGATACATTAATGCAGTAATTTAAGGAAGAGGAACTCCAACTAGATACTGAGTGCAAATACTCTACATACATAAGTTTTTATTGGTCTTATGAAATATTTGATTTTTTTGCAAATCTAAATTGTAAGTTCTCATAATCTGAAAGACATAATCTTAAAAATTAAAATAATAATATTCTGAATTCATCTGCAGAAATAAATGAGCTTTTTGCTGATATTCTAGCTCGTTGAGATGCACCTGTATCAGGTATAAGTAGCTTAGAAGATATCCACAGTGAGAATGGGTTTAGATGTTCGAAATATTGAGTTATGAATTTCAAGTAGCACCCTTTTTTTTCTGTGAAGAAGTGGATGTATTGCGTTTTGGAATAAAATCTGCAAAATGTACCAGCAAACTAGAGGTCCAGCATTTCATCTAAAGTAGATCAGTAACACCACAGATGATGGTCCATCATCAGCATGGTTAAAAATATCAAATACAACAACAGAAAAAATACAGAAAGAACATAGAAGTCCATAAGTTACCGTTCGACCATAACAATGAACAATCCTCCAGCATTATCATGGAGAAAACCAAAGATGTTATAGCTGCTTTTGACTGAAGGCAATCTGAGGCAACTACTTTCTGCAAGTGCTCGGGGGGAGAGAAATAATGAAAAGAAATACTTTCAAACCAAATCCATCCCGAGATTTCTCCAGAACGTTACCAGATGAAGGAGGAAAAAATGGGTTCTTTGCCTCACCAGCCTTCCTCCATCACCTCCCCGCTCCTGGCTGGAGGTGCTGTCACACGTAGCTCAGCAGATTCTGCATTTTCCCCACCCATAGGCGTCTCCTTAACCACCTCTTCCTCCACGTGGGATTTATCCACCCCCACTTGACCCTCCTCTACTTCGACCTCTTCCTCCTCCTCCTCTTCCTCCTCCTCCTCTTCCTCCTCCTCTTGTTGCTGCTGCTGCTGCTGCTGTCGCTGCTTATTGCGGCAGCAGGGTTTGAACAAATGGGGGTCGATGAGCACCTCCCCGAAGCGGCCCTTGTATATTATTCCACAGCACACCTTTTGCCTGCAACAGAGCGAGACGCGTTGCATCAGATGTGTGGAAAAAAAAAAAAAAAAAAAAAAAAAAGCCAAGAGGATTAAAGCTGAGTGTGTTAACAAGCTGCAGTTAAAAGTGTAACTGCGAAAATCAACACAGAACAGTGTTAAAGCGTTTTGTCAACGACTAGATTAATATAAGCAGTTTGAGCATTAAATTGTATTCTTTGAATGTATAGAGTCTATGTTCAAAATGAATATTCTAAACACAAAATGGTTTTATGATCTAATTGATTAAATGCTCACTTTATTGTGATGTAAAGCATGCAACTTTCAGTAGATCTGCAGATAGATTGTCTTTGCTTCATGGCTCATCTGTAAAAATGTTTTTGCCTCCTTGCTGATTTTGTCTGTTTTTGCTTTTGTGTTACACTTTCTTCAAGGCTTTGTTAATTGAATAACAGATGTAAATACTTTGATATTTGTCTCATAAATCCACAGAATATTTTCCAAAAATTCTTGGAAATTTCAGCACACGTTACACCTCACAAAAATTTTTGACCAGTCTTTGTCCATAGTTCAAGGAAGACCTTTTGTGTCTTTTGTTTTATTCTGGTTTTGTTTTTTGTTTATTTGGTTTTTTTGCTCTCAGGGTCGTTTTACGGGAGTCTAAAGTCTAAACCCCCCCAGTTTGTCATTATTTTCAAACGGATATGCCTAATTTCTACAGAGCGGTGCAGGATGACCTGTAAATGGCAAAGCACTTTTTAATTGATCTATGAATAAATATTTGAACAAATCTAAAATGCTAATGACTTCCAGAGAGAAAAATTACTAAGATGTTGTTTTATGTTGCATCTAAACAAATCCAACAAACTAGAGTGAATGGAAATTAAACCACTGACATTACATGTGGTAGTGTCTTCTTTTGCATACATCATATTGAACATATCTGTTCATATCTGTTCAACATGATGCTGAATATTAAGTGTTTGTGTTCCAGCATCAAATCTACCTCTTCCAGTAAGTGAGGTCCAGGAAGGAGAAGACCGGGGAGCGGCTGGACCCGGGGCTCAGCTCGGTGTCGGAGCCGTCGTCGGACAGGTTGCTGTAGCTGGGAGACTGAGCTGGAGAGGCACTGGAGGTTGTGCTGTGGGCATCTGAGTCTGGAGAGCACAACAAAGCTCAGGAGCGTAATATTTTTGACAAAAACTTAATCTCCACTTTTGTTAGTTCATACTGGTGGCAGGGAAAAGTAAAACTCAGAACTAACTGTTTCTCTTCAGCTCCTTCTGCAGCCTGCTGATCTGGCTCGGCCGAGCTTTCTTGGAGATGGCTTTGATTTTCTTGGGCCTGGATGTTATCTTTAGGCTGGGGCCTCCTCTGGCATCAACAACCTGGTCACAACAAACATCCACTTTTTGAAAATATTCTAAGGTTCCGATCATGCAAAAACATTAAATTGGCTCACATTTAATCGTATTAGAGCCTAAACACTTCAGGATTTTTATGTGATAGACCAACATATTTTATGTGATAGACCAGAGTGTAACATAATTTTGAATTGGAAGGAAATTATGATGGTTTTCATACATTTCTAGTGTAAAACATGTTTGAAACACAAATAGGATTTGATATAATCCACTGCTGTAAGTCTGGTAGTTTACGGTACAACTCAAACTTTCACAGTCTCCAACTGTTTTTGTTTTCAGGATTACAATCCGTCTAGTTTCCCTGAAATAGAAAAGTCCGTGCCACGTCCGTGCCTCAAATGGGGGAATGACATCTTTACAGCAAATAGTTTCCTGCCACACATGAGTTTATATTTTTAAAAATCACCAGATTTGCAGTTATTCCATGCTCATTCGATACATTCTCTGTGTGATGCTCAAAGTTAGGATATTGTTACACTGGATCTTGAATTTGAGGTAGATGTATTTATAAACATGTCTGAAAATTGTGAATAATTTTCTTTCTTTGGATTATTGTGAATGGATTTATCACATAAAACATGAATGCATTTGTAAGGAAAGCCAAACTCACATGGTTCCAGTTTTTCTTGGTTCCCACCGGAAGCTTTTTCCATCGCTTCACAAGGAGGACGCAGGCATTACAGATTTCTCCTGATCTTGTTTCACTCAACCTGCAAAAAACACTTTGTTGCAACTCACCATGCAGTGTGATGTCACTACACAGCACATGTTCAGGTGGGTCTCTTACCCAAAACAGCTCCTGAAGTCCTTCTCGTACCGCTTGCTGTCTGTGAAACGGGAGCTGGAGGACTTGGCCCGACAGATGCAGCAGCCGTCCAAACTCCGGTACATTTTGGGCTTATGAAAGCCAAACATCTGCATGCACACATATTTAAATTTTAACGCCTCATCACAACAATTTATTATCATACAGTGCAGTGCCACACATTCTACCACGAGACGAATCTTAGAAAATAACATTAAGCAAATCAGATGTGCTCATTATAATTAATTAAAAATACATTTAATAATAAACATCATGCGTAGATGGGGTGTTGGGGAGCATCTCTCTGCTGTGACCCACATGATGAAAGTAGGTCAACAGTCAGACTGCGTGTCAGACAGATAATGTCACCATGCTGCACTGGCTGGATTCATGCAACGTTTGGGAAACTCGCGGCACACGGAGCCCGCAGGCGGCCACGCATCGTGCAATATTGCGCTCGCATATAACCGTGGACATTTTTTGCTGCGTTTCTGGCCGCATCTGAAATGAAAGGGGCTTGTCTGCGGGAGGAGACTCCAGCACCTATAAGCGCGCAATATGCAGAAGTGCACGCTGATTTATGTTGCTAGGCAAAATGAAATCTCCCAGTACACATGTGGACCAACTGCGGCAAAACTGGGAGCCGCGCCCCCCAGACTGGATTTTCTTTTCTTTTCTTTTTTTTTTTTCTGCCATCAGTCCTTGGGGTCTTCTGACAGTGCGTTGCCACACGGATCATGCAGAGATGAGGAAAAAAATCAGAGACTTCTCACTCTGCTGCTGATTTCACAAACATAGAAGATGTTATGTTTTATTTAATTTCTTTAACGCATTCAATCATTTCTCATTGATTGAATGAGAAATGAAGCCAACTGGGGTCTTGTGATGCAGAAACCCAATAATTAGATTGAAAATTACCTGTCACACTCGCTAAATAAAGACGCACACATTAGCTTTATTCTGTGCAACTCTGATTTTCCTTTTTTTAATGTTTGACCTGACAATTTAATTGAATGTTTTTTCCCCGCCAAGGAGAAACATGTGCTGCCAGTTTGTTGATCCAAGTGGAAGCTTTGAGTACAAGAAAATATTAACAGATTAAAAGAATATCCCTACTTTTGCATCAAAGTATGCGCCCCTTTTTGTATTAAACACAAATAAACTGAATCAAAGGACACAGTGACCATTATTCTGTCATTAGACTAACAATTATATTTCTTAGTTTGGGTGTGTTTAATAATTAAGAATGAATGCATATTTTTAAGTGTCCGACCTGCTGATCACTGCTCAAATGTATTGATTCTGTTTATTTATTGTGAATTTACTATGTTTTTGTTTGATTGACTCAATAGGAATTCTTCATACAAACATCCTTATATATTCAATAGTGTACACTTTACTTTTATTAGACTCTGCTAATGTGTCTCAAATACCTGATACAGTTTAATAAACAAAAGTAGCAATATCAAAATATCAAAATAAAGATAAATGTATTTGGCACATAAAAATATAAAAATAGAATTCATCTGTGCTCAAAACAGTAGCAGCTGCAAAAATCTTGACCCATTTTAAATCCTTTTAACAAGGGTTAGTAGTATTTACAATAATAATAATAATTACTATCATACTGCAATCATTACTACTATGTGGAACCACCCTCAATACTATCATCAATGTAATTGTTTTCAGTAATAATATTTATTTAAAAATAATAATAATGACTGAGCTGCGATGTTTGCGTTTTGCATATAAAATCTGTAAATCACATCACTGCACCTATTTTATTACAACACACTAATTTTGTAATTTATTTCTTTGCTATTACTACTTTAATTACCCTATAATTGCTACTACTCCTAATAAGCTATAAAATGAATGAATAAAGCAAAGGCAAGATAAATAAAAGTGATATTTTGTGTAATTTATTTAAATCAGTTCACTACACTCCTTGACAGGGTGGCCTACAATTAGTTCTGCTTTTCACCTCCGCGTGGGCCTTCTGTACGTCCGAGACGATCTCTGCAGCAAAATACAGTACGTGACGCAACTCAACATGGCAACACACTTCAAAGGCGGAGGCAATGTGGAGAAAAGGGGTGTGATGCGATTTTCCGCAAAAGCTGCAATTTTAGCACGTAAACTGCAACAAACCCCGCGGAAAGCTGTTGCTTCTGCTTCCAAAACGCGCAAACACTGCAGAAACATCCAAACCTCGCGCTTGTTGTCGCCGAGGGAAGCGCGCACGGCGCTGAAATTTCACCGCCCACTCTCCAGCAAGGAAGCATGGCATGCCACACGACCTGCTTCTTGCGCACCCATTTTATGACGACCGTCCTCTGCTCGACGGTGCCCGACTTCCACGCCGCTCTCCAACTTTGTGCGGTTTGACGAGCTGAGAGCGACGCGTTTCCAACGCAAATCATCTCGCCTCGCACCGCGAAAAAATAAAGCTTTTGTGTTACAAGTGTGTAATTTGATCTTTACTCTTTGTTATTCCGCGGCCGCGTCGCTGCAACTGTCCACATCCAACTAAACATGTGCGCAAAGTTCAGAGCGACTGCCTTCGTACAGTCGGTTCCCACGCATTTATTCTCGCACAAAACTAAATATGCGAGGCAGTTTGAGCCGCGTGAGGCGTTCACGAACAGTTTGCGTCTAGCAGGAGGTGTTTTGTTGACAGCGGCGCCCGCGTGTTGAGACGCATCTCTACTCCGGGTGGGCGTGAGAGATTCAACTTGGCATCGATGCGTACAGCAAACCAAAATACGCACTATTCCGACTTTCTGCACCGCTGTGGCGTTTAAAATCTGGATTAAGAAGCGTTTAAAAACCGACTTCAATCAAACTGCATGTGCTAAAAGGAGCGATTCCCTCACGCAGCCGAGTGCAGCAATAAGAGCCTCGATCTGCTTCCAGTGTCTGCATCTCAACTCCTCCTGCTCTTTCTTCCCTTCCTCCCCACTAATCTCCCCACTTTCTCGAATCATTTCAACCATCATAAGGTGACCCAGAGCTGACCGCGCCGGAAGGCCCCAAAACAACACCAATTGTTCAAAGACAACTCGAGGCTTGGTTTTTTTTAATTACGCGTGTGAAACGACTTTAAAAACCAGCCTGAGAGACGCGCCGGGACAAACGCGGCCCGCTCGCCGGCGTTACCTTGTTGGAAGTTTGGTGGAGCTGACACAAAGCGAGTGTCCCTGAAGAGCGTCGCGGCGGAGCTAGTGTTGGGAAAACGAACCCGCATCAGTAAACCCGCTCTCTTGTTGATGTCTGCGCTTGAGGACGGGACTGGATAGTTGTGAAGCTACTGCGCCTGCGTCACATCCACGCCTCCATTTCAGAGTAGAGCGCAGGGCCCCCTCTGTTTTTTCTTTTTCTTTTTTTTTTCTTTTTCTTCAATCAAACTATTTACATAAACGACGTGTGACGTAGGCGTGCGTCTGCGCTCCGCTGGCCTTATAAGGCTGGGAATATTACGCGGGAACGGGGGGCTCGGCTCTGGTTGCTATGGCGCATTGGAGAATGTAAGCAAAGGGGCGGGGCTTGTTGTTTTACTACTCGACGCCAGATGGCTCGTCTCGGGGCCTGCAGTCTTCAGGAGGCTCGGCGTCTGGAGTCGAGATGGGCTTTGTTGATTTAAAATTCACACCAAAACAACCAGATTAGTGTTCAAATAAAAGGCGGATAAAGTTTAATCCCCAGACTCACTGATCACGGGAAACAAACAAACAAACATGTCCAATTTGTTATTATTTTATTGTAAAGCAATTAGAATACAATACGGTTTTATCTTTAATGATCAATTAAACAAACTATTGGAAGATTGTGTGTAATTGAAGAATATGTTTAAATAAATATTTTTGAAAAACTGGAGTGCAAAGAAGCACGTCAATAAAATCAATGCTATGTTGAGATCTCAGAGTCGTTTTGGAAAACAGTGGTGAACCAACAGCAGCGTTTAACTCTGGAGAAGCTGCAGAAACCCACAGCTCAGGTGGGAAATCTGTAAACTGTCAGTCCTTCATGCCATGGATCTGGTCTTTGCATAACAGTAAGGGAAAGCAAATTTATTTACCTAGCACGTTTTCAGCAACAAGGCGGTTCATTTTCAAAATGCTTTACATGAAGTAGAAGAAAATACCAGCAAAACAACAAACCAAAAGAAAGACAGCAAGGTAAACTACATATTGGTTCCCCATGTTTCATGAGAATAAGTATAAGTAGTGACAGTAAAGCGATTAGTAAAATAGAAACAAAACAAAAAGCCATCTGCAGTTTGCCACAATCTAGCAGCAAACATAAGAAAGAAGCTTTTCTGTTCAGATGTTACACATTAACAAAAATATGTTTGGTCTACAACGTCATAATCACAGATTGGGATCATAGTCAATATTTTCATAACAATTTTCAGCATTAGAAAGTAAAGATTTTTCTGAGATTGAGCAGAAAACTGTGGCTGTGCATCACTTTGACTACATTATTTGACACATGATGGAGGAGCACATTGTGCTGCGGATGCAGAATCTCGACTCTTTCACCTGCTGTAAAATGTTGCTCTTTAAGGTCCTCATGACTGTTTTAATTTCCTTGGAAATAATTTTCAGTTTGGCTGCATAATCAAAGTAATGCAAGTATTATTTGCCATTTTAATATTTGATGTAGAGTTATTTCAGTTCAGTTTGTTTATATAGCACCGCTTCACAAGTCATTTCAAGGTACTTTACTAAAAAGGTTTCATTTCATTTCAATCCAGTCACACGTTTCATAACAGGATTAGAATTAGAAAAATATTCTTTCTTCTGTGGGTCCTGTGGAAAATGCAGTGCTTCACAAATTTCTGTGAAAAAAATAGACAAAAGTAGAAGTTTAATATTTATGTCTCACTCTGCAGTTATTAAAAAAACAGATATTAGTTTAGGTTCTCGTTCATGTCAAAAAAAATAAATAAAATCACAGATAAAACTGCCTCTTCTCCTACGACCATCTCGTATTAGGACTGTAGGTGGCGCTGTTTCTTTGTGCGTCTGAAAACAGATTTTCCACCTATATTTTCATTTTTTTAACATAAAACATTTTAAATCAAACCGAGATGAACAAAAACATATAAAAAGATAATTTGTATTCCAAAAATGTACACTTTGTAAAACTTTAACAAGGAATTTTAAAAAAAGAGTCTTATATATATATAAAAAAAATGTTGGTTGTGTCTGAGTTTTCTAAGTTTTAGCATAGAAAACAAACATATGGGCCAAGACAGAAGTACTGACTGAGATGTGCTTTGGTTTCTGATCTTTCATCTAAAATGTAATAAAAGAGGAACCATTTATCTCAAAAATGTTTATTTTTAAATACAATGCCAAAGTAGTTCTCCTTTTGGGTTGAATGACTTTTTCTGATTTAACGTTTTTATGACTATCAAATGTTTCAAATTAAATAACCAAATTGCTGATATTGTGCAACTCTAGTGTGGGAAGAAAAACCCAAAGAGTAGGATTTTACTTAGTAAGGATAAAGGCTGACCAAATATGTTCTTTTATGAAAATGTAATTATCCTTTAGACCAAAGAACCGGATGTGTTGCTCCAGGCACCAACAATTGCCATCAAGTGTTTGCAATGACTGGAAATGAGTCGTTAACTCAGATCCCTGCAGAGGATTTTGGCTTTACTCTTCTCAGCAGATTTGTTCTAATTTGGCCACATTACCGGGTCTCAAAGCGCAAACAACCCGCTTAAGGTCAAGCCACAGCAACTAAATCAGATTTAAACCTTCATTTTTTCAGCCGTTCAGAAACAGATGCTGGGTTTGTGCTACTGATAGCTATTCTGCTGCATCATCAAAATGTCCTTGAGTTTAAGGTCACAAGCTGATGCGAGGAGGTAGAATGACTTGGCACCAAAACACATTAAAGACCTGCTGTCAGTGCATCCAAATCACAGGAGTTTTGATTCAAGTCTAGAATCAGAAACGACAGAAGCGGCTTTTAATCTGTTTCTCCTCCAATATGGAACAAACTTCCAGAAAACAGCAAAACTACTAAAACTACTGAGTTACTTTTAATCAAGGCTAAACACCCAACAACTTCTACATGGATTAAATCTAATCTGGATTACATTTTTATTTACCTCTCTTTATTTTGCCATCATAATGTTTTTATGATGTGAAGCATTTTGTTGAAAAGAAGATACAGCTTTGTAACCATGACTTTGTTTCCCATTTGTTCCAAAATTTCTTTAGATTAGAATCCGACGTGTTTCTTCTTGAGATATTTAATCTACTTCAAGTTGCCAAGCAGGTCAGGCAGTAACCAGGCCAGGAAGTGGATAGTGAAACACGACCCCCCAAAATTACAAAAGGTAACGACATAACAGCCGTTTTATGATGATCCTTAACACTTAAGTGAGAAAAACAAAATAGATCACTAAAGAGGCCAAATTCTGTTTTGTAAATGTTCAGAGTTATGAATTAAGGCTCTGATTTTCTTTTTTTTATTTTTTATTTTGCAACAAAAACTGTCACAATGCCATATTTCACGCCAGGATTTGTTTCAGGATTTGTTGACAATGACATTTCAAAGCATACCAGCTGTGTCAATAACTTTAATTTCTCAACAGCACAAACCATAAATAACTTATTGCTCTTCCTAATCTGTATTTAAACGACAGAGACTTGGTCATATTGGGGTACACTGGTGCTTGCAGGACAGTGCAGAGGATTACATTTTAACATGTTAAATTAAATTCAACGTTAACATTTTACATTTTTAACAAACCTGTGCTCTGTTATTCCCATAAGACAAACAAACAGCATGTCTATAGTAAGAAAGCTGGCCTACAGAGGGACCCACTGTTACTGCAAACTTATCAATGTGTAATAAAAAATGAAAACAATTGGGAATGAACGGCTGGAGCAACGCTAAGAAGTCTGATGAGGCAAAAATATTTACGAGAGAGATTGGCGACTGGGATTCCTGACGGAGGGACAAACAGGACTAGAAGTGACACAATTAGGACACCAGCTTGGATCCAACTGGGGCTTTTCATAAGCAATACTCTGCTTAGCATGTGACTCCAAACTGAAATAAAAAATAAGCAAGACACAGGCCAGACATGACACCATAACAAGAGCTTCATGTAACATTTGTTTATGCTTAAATTATTCAAGGAGAACATTACTTTTCACGACAATATTTACTGAGATATCAAATAAAAGACGGTTAATAAGGCCTGAGCAATGACACTTCAGATTACAACACCTAAAGTAATGAAACGAAAAGATTCTGGCCATGCAGGTTAAGATTTTAAGTGCGAGCAACATAGCAGTGAGTAGATACAGTAGACCTAAAGTCATATAAGATGGATCATGAAAGCAGATATCTTCTGCATGTTTGAGTTGATCTTTTCTCCCGGGGGAATTTCACAGTGTAGACAAACACAGGACTAGTTCCTGGAGCAGATATAAGACAGTTTACATCAGTGAACAAAGCGATATGTTTGGTGCTTGAAAAGTCTCCGTCTTCATCTGACGACTTTGACCATGGAGTTACATTTTGTCAGAGTCTGAATGCATCTCATCTCATCAGGGTGCTTTCAGGGTCAGAGTTCGACCCCTTTGACCAGGGCCGCCTCCAGGGTGATGCTGAAGTCGTTCAGGGTTTGCAGGATGCGACAGAGGGAGTGCAGGGCGGCCCGGTCCCGCAGCAGAGCGCCGTCCTCATAAGTCCGAGCTGTCAGGGGACACTCGGCCAGCAGGGGGAACCACTGAGACAGGAGTTTGTCCCTGCAGAGGGACAAACCGTAACCAGGTTTGGTGGAAAAAAGAATAAAGTTTGAAGAAGCCATTCAATTCTGTCATGCTTTGGCTATGTTTTATCATTTTTGTTACAAGTCAAACAGGTAGAAACATCAAAATCTGACTTTCATCAGCTATAAAAATGTACCGACTTCAAATTTAAATGTAAAACAATCATTTGTAATTAATGCAATATTTCTGACAAATGTCAAACTACAGACGTGGATTCAAGGATAATCAAGTGATAGCTTGATTATGCGTAACTCACACAATATAGAGGGAGGTAAAGGATGCAACACATTATCACAAGTTCTTTTGAGTATCATATGGTTTATGTTGTTATGTATTTGGCTGCTTTGCCAAAATTTGACCTCTTTATTTTTAAAAAAAAATGTCAGCCCACCTTACGCCCAGGCAGACAAACAGCTGAAATTTTCCCTCCTTCCCGATGTTCCTGGGGGAAGAGTTGATGGCGTGGACGTAGCGGCACAGCGAGTCACAAGGCGGACTCTTCGGTAGAGTCGAGCCATGCAGGTCGCCCATCTGGTCATTAGTTTCCATAG